ATTGTAAGTTTTCATATAATAATGGTTACATTTAACAAATAGTGTAAGTTTTCATATAATAATGGTTACATTTAACAAATAGTGTAAGTTTTCTTATAATAATATTATATTTCACAGATAGTGCAAGTTTTGTTCCATATCATTTTTTTGTGAAACCTACATGACAAAAAAAGATTCTCTCAAAACAGCAAAAGCAGATCTACAGTGTTCTGCATTTAAGCTCTTCATATACACATCTATCTATCTATATATATATATATATATATATAAAATTCAAATATGAGTATTAATACTCACATGCATTTGGTTTATTCATTTCACACTAAAAAAAATTTAACATTTTGAAACAGACAGAGAATATAGCAAAATAATCAATATTTCAATGTTTTGCACCTTACAAATCAATCACTTTTTAAAAACATATTTATGTATTGTTATTTTTTCCAACTTTTAAAAAGCATTCTGCATCTGCTTACCATACCTTTGTAGTTTGTCTGCAAATTAACACTTTTAATGGAGATATTAAGATAAAAAAGTTTTATACAGAAATTATGTAAACAACTGGGTTGTCAGTGCATTTTATCTAGCTTTCTCAAAGTATGCATTCAAGAATTTTATTTAGCTGTTAAACGTAAAAGTTATGTTCTACTTTTGTGGTGTTTGTTGTACAAAGATAGTACAAGTAGATCTTTCTAGTATTTTATCCTTAGAACAAAATGTTTTTCCAAATCTTTCACCCCTTTATTAAACAACATAAATCCACTATGAGAAAACCAGACCCACTTTAAGTGCTAGATGAACTTGACTAACTTTGAAAAACAACAGAGAAGTTGACTCTTTCTCCACTGTTTAATTACAATGACGGTTAAATGTCTGATTAAACTAGACAAGGTAGGGCTATTCAATAGACAAATGTTCTGCTTACAAAAACAGTGGTAATGTGTTATTGCCCAGAACCTTACAATTTGTGCATAAAATATTGACAAGTTTTTATTATATTTATCTCATAATGGATACATTTTATAATATCAGTCCTTTGGTAATGTACACGTTCACCTGTGGCCTTCCAAGTTCTCTTTGGGATGCATAAAAGCTTTCACATGTGCACACTGGACATAAAATGTTTCCTTCCTTACTAACCTCAAGGGTAAGGGCATATCTATTTATATTCTAAATCAATCTGAATCTGAGATTTCTGACTCATGTCATTTTAACTTCATGGTTAATGACTCAAGACCCTTTACTGTGAGCACATAAACCCATGTTTAATGTCTCTTGTCCCTCTTTAGCCCACAAACTCATGTTTAATGGCTCATGACCCTTTATAGCCTATAAATACATGCTTAATGTTTTTTAGAAATTAATTTCAAAGACTAGTGACCTTGGAGAGTACATAAACAGAAATTTATTTATTAATCTATGATAAATGTATTTAACCTTCTGTATTCTAATTCTTAGTTATTAATCTATGATAAAAAGTAAAACCTACTGTTTATTGTTTTAGTTATTAAACTACGCTCAGTGTCATTTACGTATGCTATTTCTGAGTTATTAATCTATGCTGAATGTATTTATTAACCTACTGTATGCTATTTCTGAATTATTAATCTATGCTGAATGTATTTATTAACCTACTGTAAACTATTTCTGAGTTATTAATCTATGGTGAATGTATTTATTAACCTACTGTAAACTATTTCTGAGTTATT